ATTCAGGCTGCTCAGGGAAATGGTGAGGTTCCATGGGAAAATGTTTTTGCAGGCAGTGGGGTCCATCATTCGCTTTTTAAATATGACCTTCTAAGGGTACACCAGCAGGCAATTCCCAAATGTTGAAAGTCAAGCAGGCAAGGCAGGCCAGCTTGACTGAGCAGGAATCTTCTCTTGGAAATAAGACAAAAAAAAGAAGGTGTGGAAGCAAGGTCAAATGACATGAGAAGAATACAGAGATGCTGCTTGCCACTGTAGGGAGAAAAATTCGTGCAGCCAAAACGCTACTGGAGTTGAAGCTGGCCAGAACTGTGGGGAACAATAAAGAGGTTTTACAAATATTTTAATGGCAATAGGCAGTGTAGCAATAATATTGGCCCATTACAGGATGAGGATGGTCACCTCACAAGCAGATGATGGATCAAGTGGGTCTCAGTGCCCTGAGATGGAGGACAATGACTGCAAAAATGGTCAGCTCCCAGTCGACCCTGGATCTATGCAGGATCTGCTGCTTCAGTTGGAAATCTATGAGGCACGATGGGATTCATCAGAGAATACTCAAAGAGCCAGCTGATGTCATCGCAAAACCTCTCAATGATTTTTTGGGTCTTGGGAATCTGGAGAGATCTCAGATGACTAGAGGCTGGTTAATGTCTCAATTTTCCAGAAGGCAAGAAGGAGGACTTTGGAGACTGTAGGCCTGCTAGTCTCATTTCAGTGCGTGATAGAGTTATAGAGAAAATTATTCTGGGAGATATTGAAAAACCTGGAACACAACACAGTCATTGGTGACAGATAGCATAGCTTCATGAGAAGAAAGTTCTACTTCTCAAATCTAATTTCTTTTTATGACAAGGGAACCCACTTGGTTGATCAAGGGAAGCTAGTCCATGTAATGTTTTTAGATTTTAGTAAAGCTTTTGATGTCTCTCGGAGTATCCTTCTGGACAAAACATCCAGCACACAGCTGGATAAACAAGTGATGAGATGGGTGAGCATCTGGCTCATGAGTTGTGCATAAGGGGTTACAGTGAATAGGGTGACATCAGATATAGGGTGACTGGTCACTAGTGGGGTTTCACAGGACTCCAACCTCTGCCCTGTGCTCTTCAACATCTTCTTAAATGACTTGGATGCAGGACTGGAGCAGATACTAAGCAAGCTTGTAGATGATACAAAACTGGGAGGAGTTGTTGACTCTCTAGAAGGCAAGGAGGCTCTGCAGAGAGACCTCAACAAATTAGGGGGCTGGGTACACGCCAAAATTAAATGGAGTTCAGCAAGGAAAAGTGACTGATTCTGCATCTGGGATGGAGCAACCTGGGATGTACGGACACACTGGGGAATGAGAGACTGGAGAGCAGCACCATGAATCCTGGTCACTGGCAAGTTGAATCTCAGCCAGCATTGCCCTGGCAGCCAGGAGGGCCAACCCTATCCTGGGGTGCATCAGGCACAGCATGGCCAGCCAGGCAAGGGAGGGGATTGTCCTACTCTGCTCTGCACTGGGGCAACCTCACCTTGACTCCTGTGTGCATTTTTGGGTACCACAATTTAAAAAGGTTATGAAGCTATTAGAGAGTGTCTAAAGGAGGGCCATGAATATGTTGCAGGGCCTTGAGAGGAAGCTGTATGAGGAGCAGCTGAGGTTACTCAGTCTGTTCAGCCTTGGGAAGAACCTGAGGGGAAACCTCATTACAGTCTACAACTTCTTTGTGAGGGGAAGAGGAGGGGTGACCAGTGACAAGACCCAAGGGAGTGGCCTGAAGTTGTGTCAGGGATGATTTAGGTTGGATAATGCATGGAGGTTTTTCACCCAGAGGGTGATTAGGCATTGGAAAAGGTTATCCCGGGAAGTGGTCATAGCACGAAGCCTGACAGAATATGAGAAACATTTGAACAATTCTCAGGCACATATTCTGACCCTTGGGGATGGTGCTGTGCTGGGACAGGAGTTGTACTGTATGATCCTTGTGCGTCCCTTCCAACTCGGCTTTTTCTGTAACTCTGAGCTTTGTAAGCAAAGTATCTGGGATCCTGAACAGTTGTTGAGGTCGCTTGTTCCCTAAAGAAGGGGCCAAGTCTGTATGACCAAACCTAGAAAGATTTTGGGACTGGAGTGAGGGAATGAGGCAGGACATAACCGCAGAAGGAAGCTGAGGCATTCTTCTGTCTCTTACAGGTGCTGCAGGAATATGTGCGCCTGGTGGAAGATGTGGAGACCCGGCTGAACCTCGCTACCAAATACAAGTGCCATGATGTTGTCATAGAGGTAGATTGCTGCTGTGTGAAGAGATGGGACACGGGCCTGCTTTTTCTCTCTAGCTTTTCTGTTCTCTGTCACGTGCCACTTCTGTCATGGGCCTAGTGGGGTTTATTTATCCCTGCAGCCTGGAAAAAATGATAAGGTTCCGAGTAGAAGTCCATGAGCCAGGAGAGTGGCTCCTAGCATTTGTCCTGTGAAATTGTTCTGTGTTGGGAACTGGATGGGGGATTGTAGAGTTGCCCCGCCCATCTGCAGGACACTCTCTAACCACGGGAGTGTCCCTTTCTCTCAGCTGGGTGCTGGTTTTGCCCTTTATCTAGACCTACCGGGATCTAAAGGATCGTGTCCAGCTGACAGCATATAAGTGCAAGGTGGAGCGGGGCTCTGCAGAAGAAGAGAAGATACAGAGCATTCTCAGCAACATGGTAAGAAATGCTTACTCTTTCTTCCAGACACTCTCATCAGAAATAGATATAGATTAGGTGTAGGGGTTTTGCTGTCCTACATACTTTCTTTCCCTGCTGGGAAGGTAATCTTCTGTTTGGGGTTGCATTCAGGGTAGGAATGAATGGTTATACTGATAGAAATGGCATGCTGTGGCCATAGCTGTCCTTGTCAGGGACCGGGAGTCACTAAGTTGGCTTCTAGGGCTCTGTGTTCAGCATTGCTGTTAGTCATGTCTTGTTCTCTCTTTTAGCAAATCCGGTGGAAAAACTGAGCACCTGTGAAACAGCCTTGTTTGGCCGTTACCTTGTCACTGAAAGAGGGAACTGCAAAACCCAGTCCAGTGCCAACAGAGCAGCTCTGTTACTACTCATTGCATGATCAACGTTCGTCGGTGACAGTGGGTGCCCGTGGCTGTGGGGCTGTGGCGTTCAGGCTGGTTGAAGACAGCTACTAAAATGTAGCTGGTGAAACCATGGTACTGATCCATCAGGGTTGATTCTTTTTGGAATCTGATTGTCTTTGTGGCTGTAAGCTAGGCATCACTTGTGTGTATGGAGGGAAGTTGCTGGGCACAGCAAGATGAACGTTTGCTCTGAATGGTGCCTGGGCTTATTCTTCCAAGAGGAATGTGTCAGTCATACTCGTGAGTCTCTCCACCAGAGAGTGCTGACTAGTGCCTGTAACAGTCAAGCTGGCTTGGGCATCACTAATCATGGCTGTGGCTGGAGTAAAACTTACCTGGACTGTGTTCTCCCTTTGTGAAGGTGTTGGGGGGAAAAAACCAGTCGCACTTTCATTTTGGTTCTGGCTCACCTTAGGAAAAGAGGTGTGTGCACTCCTGCAGAGAGCCAGGAGAGCTACCTCTGCCAGTATCCTTCTGCTAGCACTCTGCAGCATTTGGAATATCCCTTTATCAGGGAAATACGTTGTGTGGAGGTGGTCAGAGTCCTGATGGGTTGGATGGAGAGTGAGCAGGGACCTCTCTCAGTTGACACAAATCTGCTGGCCCCAGCAGCTCTTTTCTCTGAAAGTGTTACACCAGGAAGGATTGAAATGCACTTTTTCAGAAACACAACTCCTCAGGCAGCTGTTGGCTTCATACTTTAAGACCTCACTTCATTTCTGTAAATAAAGTTGTCTCTTTCTCCTTGGGCTGTTTCTTTTCTTCCCCCACTAAGTACATTGTCATTCTTGTATGTTAATCCTGAGCAATTTATCACCTCCCAGAAAATGAGTTGCAGGATCTTTTTTTTAAATTCTGAAAAGTACAGTGCATATCACCTTGCAGTGACATTGCTTGCAGCAGTACCTTATTTCACACCTTCAGTGCCTCAGCACAGATGAATTAATTTTAAAGAGGTTTTTAGGAGAGTTTGCTGCTACAGGGGGTCATATGAAAGTAGATTTGGATTCCAGCCTTCCCGCTACACTGTGAACTGTCTTCTTCTGTTGGTGTTTGGTTTTTTCTTATGGAATCATTTGGGTTGGAAGGGACCTCTTGGTCATCTAGTCTACTCCTGCTTTAGCAGAATCACTGGAACAGGCAGACCAAGACTGTGGTTATGTGGGTTTTCAGTATCATCACAGCTGGAGATGACTCAGCTTCTTTGGGAAACCTGTTCGGAATTTGGGAACACTCACAGTACAAGGTGGCTTTGTGTCTTCAGCTGGACCAGCACATTTCAGTTTGTTCCCAGTGCCTCTTGTTATCACTGGGTACCACTGAAGAGAGTCTGGGTCCCCTTTCTTCATTCTCTCTCATCACATACTTGAAAAAATTGCTAAGATTGCCCTTGATCTAGGACCATTTTAGGTGAGGGATGCTAATATTAATAGTAACAAGTCTAATACAGCTTGCATTTTATGTAGCTCATACTAATTGAATAAACAGAAGTTGTTTACAGGCTGCATATAAAGTCATATAACACCATTAACTCTTAGATAAGACAGACGGGGAAAATGTCCTCCAGGGCGATGTTTGGAATAAAATCCTCTTTCTAGTCAGAGAAGAGATGAAACAGGGATTATTAAATAGCTTTTTATAGATCTTGAAAAGTATAGCCAGATCCCAAGGCTCAGTTGTTTCAGCTAAAGACTTTAAAACAGCCCGCAAGGACTGGGCCAGGCAGCTGAGCTCTTTTCATGTTTATTCCTTTGTGGCACTCTGCTGTTGGTCTTTGCTATGTCAGAACAGTGATGAGCAGCCACCAAAGTCCTTCTCTGCCACTTTGGGCAGGCAGGCAGACAGTGCTACCAGTCTGGTAGCAATGGTTTGTATTTCACCTGCATGTGGCAGAGCACAGGTAATTGTGTTCCAATGCCTAGAGGTGCTGGTTTGTCAGCTCTGCTATGTCTGGGCTTTTGAGTCCCTTTCTCCTTGCCTAGTGCAGTTGTCCTGCAGAAGCGGAGCTTTCCATGTTTTCATAACGGTGCTCAGCTGGTGGCCTGGAAGGACACTGTGTTCCTCTGCTGCCTCGTGTCACACATGCTTGTCCGTCTGCTCTCATTTCTCCTGTCACTGTACAGCCTTGACACCTCCATCCCTGCCCTCAAGAAAAATGGACCATGTCATTTCAAAGCCTGGAACTGTCACCAAACCCAGGAAGGAATGAAACTCTGATCCTACCTTTGAGATGTCTGTGAGTTGCATTATTTATTCTGGGCAGGATGTGCAGTGAAAATCATTCCAACTGCACACGTCCCGTATAAGACTTTTCACATATTTTTACATTTATCGGAAACAATTTTTGAGCAAACAAGCTTTATGTCGTGGGTGTTTCTATGTCAATTTTTTTTTTATTGCTGACAGACTGAACACAACTCATTCTTAATACACACACAAAATATTGACATACTGCATTGAACACATACAACTCCCTGAGAGTTCAAAGAATTCAAAGCATCTGAGCAAACACCACCAAAAAAGCTGCTAACTTACATGTGGCCTAAAAAATTTCACAGTGCATCTTTCACTATAGAGTGTCACTACAGGATTTCCTGCAGGACTCAAACCTGCAATTACTGAGTTTTGCCACTGGATGGGAGTCGAACCCATTATTTCTACAAAAGGGAACCTGAAACATCGGTACAACCACGCTGTAATTAGTGCATTGTTGAGTGTGCTTGAAGCACCCATGGTGCTCACCTTGCCATCATGGCTGAACGGTTATGACTTTATATGCAGCCTGTCGAGAACTTCTGTTTACTCAATTAGTATGAGCTACATAAAATACAAGCTATATTAGACTTGTTACTACTAATTTTAGCATCCCTCACCTAAAATGGTCCCAGATCAGAGGTTTCAAACCAAACAGGTCTAGTTATCAGTGTGGTTCCTCACAGCAGTGTGAGATGAGAATATCCCTTCACATCTGTGTGCACACTAGTAATTGATACTTGATTTTGTTGATCCTGCAAGGAAAATAAAATTCCGTGAATAGCTGGTAGTTATTTTTATGCAGGCCTGAACATCATCATGTGGCAGAATCTTCCTCACCAGAAGGCACTGAAACTAAGCAATGACCTCAGCTTTCCTGAAGGCTGCCTCATCTGTCCAGAGCAAAAACCTTCTTGCCCGGTTTGTGTGCAAGAGTTCTGTCAGCAAAGATTTTTTCCTCTTTGATTACACAAGAGGAGAAAGTAGACAGTTGAATGCTGAGGTACTGCTTGTCTCTGCTTTGCAACTTGCCTCATCTCACATCAAACGTGGGCTGCCTTGTTGGGTTGGAAGTTGCTGAACTCTACGTTGTCCTTAGGACCATATCTCTATCCTAGGAATTGCCTTAGATGATGTATTAGCAACAGAAGACCAGGACTGAGTTATTTGGTCCCTAGATCCTGCTTCTCAGCGTTGTCTGATCAAGACTAGGGCATTGGAAGCAAAAAAAAAAATTCCTATGGGAAATATCTAGAGAGGACAGTTCTTGCGGGTATTGATTGTGAACAGTTCATGAACTGTTGAGGATGTTAAGTCAGGGGAACGCTACTTGAGGGAAAGGATTCCTGCTTTTGCAGGACTATTTTAGAGCCATTGGTCTCAGTTTTACTTCACTTGACAGAGCGATGCCTCTAACATTTTTTATTCAAGTCTCTCAAGTCTGATGGTTTCTCAAAGGCCCAAGAGTCTTGTAGTCAGACACTGAAGAAAACCACTATTTGTTTCATTATTAGCAAGTTGCTTTGGACTGTTGTTACCTGTAAATGTTTCCACTTGTTTTCCCTTCCCAGAACCTTCCCCTGGTTTGACCTGACAGCTGTGCCACTGAGGAAGTCTCTCTTTAGCCAGCTGCTAGGAAAGAGAGAGCTTGTCTGGTGCCATCTGATGCCTGGTGCTCTACTGTACCGGACACCCTCTGGAGATAGTATTACAAAGCAATATGGGCTGGTCAGCACCAAGACATCTCTCACTGCAGCTGCAGTGGAGCCTAGCATGGTATTGGATGACAAATCTCTATTCTCCACAGCTGCTTCCAACAGTTTCTGAGAAATTCCAAAGGAAAATGCTGATCATGATTCTAAATCTTCATAAACCATAATGAAGCCCATGAGGAATGCTTTGCTGAGATCTCATCCCAGCCCCTTCATGGGACTAAGTGGTGCACTGTTAACTGTCAGACTCTTTAAACTATTCCAGCTAATAACCCTATGTACACATTTTCTTCTATGAGTTTCACTCTCTACTCTGCTCAGCAAACTTGCTTATCCCTGGTTGCCTGAGCTTTTATATTTTTTTCTTTTGGTCTGAATTTGTTTATTACATAGTCTTCTTGGGCTATGAATCGCTTCAGTTTCACTGTGTTTCTATTGCAGCTTCAATACAAAACTGAATTACAAAACGAAATTACAGTTATTTTGTAGTGGCTACAGCTTTGGTGTAACAAATTAAACAGGATCAGGCCCAGTCTTTTTTTGTTGTATTTTTTTTATTCCCCATGGGGGATCTTGAGAAAGCCATTGGATCCTGACAACATACTAGTGATTTAGTCAGGAGTGCTCTTTCTGTTGAGCCAGGCTTTCATCAGCACTTACTTCTACTTCCTTGCTAGTGATAATGTATTCCACCTTCACCACCACAGACTATATAATATGTCCTTCAAGGAAAAAGGAGGTAACTGGATACTCTGTCCAAATCCACCTGGGACAAAGAAATTTTTATTCCCTAAATTCTCCAGCTCAGTGTTCTTTGTACTTTCTGCCACCATTTATCATGTATTTCAGTACTGTTTACCGTGATAAAACACTGCCTGCCTGGTTGTGCCTCACAGGAAATAATTTACTAGCCTCTATGTGAGGCCAAGGATTAGTTATGCATGTTGCACCTAGACCCCTTGCTTAATTATGATTGCTGACAGCAGCTGTCACCACACCTGTACACCAGTTATTGTATATGCCATTTATCTTACATCTGGGTTTCAGAGCAAGCCCGGTCTGCAGACACTGAAGCCTGGGAGAAATCTATTCACTTGAACATCTGGAAAGTTCTTATCCATCACTTGTGCCTAAAATATTTGCCTAATTGTTTTTTAGTCCTTTTTAATCAACTGTAAAGCAGAAGTGAAAGACAGACAATGGTACAGTCTGATCTACAACCTCCACTTCACTTAGTTCCTGTAAGCAAATGAAGTATTGCAGAAAAGAGACAATGTGGGAACGGGTTTGGTGAAATAAAATGTCTAAGGGCTGCAGTGGTGGTGTGGTGCACAGTTTTTTGTAATTGTGAAAAGGTGGAACTGTACCTCCTTGAACAATCTGCAAGGTAATAAGGGTGCAGTGGCTGTGGCTGCTGGGCTTCTTACAAAGGCAAAAGTGCAGCACGAATCTCTAATTCTGCCTCTGCATGTCCTGTGATGCAGGGAGAGCATCCACTCCCACCATGGTCTGCGATCCTTGCAAAGAAGGAACTGTAGTATAGGGCTCCAGTCCTGCTTTTTGGATAAACTGTGAGAAAGTGAGGGCATCTGCCTTCTTTCCTGTTGGTGCCTTTCTCTCTAGAAAGAGACCCATATTGTCTCTGTATGGGAGGGCAATGGATCTGCTGAAGAGAGGCTCTTCAATCCCCAGCAGGTCTCGCACGTGTCGTGAAATTTCCTGAAATACAAGACAAAACACCAGAAATTCTCATTTCTCAAACCAAGACAATAGGGAAACAGCTAAAAACAGCTATTCCATGTCAGAGCAGCAGGAAAAAAGAAGTGATACTCTGGATTTTGGTACAGTTTCATGCTTGAAGTTGCAACACAAGGGGGATCTGAATCCATAAACCCCATGGGACATTGTAATAGCAGTGCATATCACCTTCTCTCCAGGTTTACTATCAGGGATGGCATCACATCTGGTCTCTTAGTGGCATAAATATAGCTCTGCTTTCATCCTTGCACTTCAAGGACAAACAAGTTATGGGTGAATGAACTGCAGTCTCTTCTGCTTAATGCAAAGTCATCACTGTTTGTGAAGTTATAATGAGAATGACAATCTACACAAAGGTGTAAAAAGTAATTAGCGAGAAATCGTATTGTTCATTAAGAAAATTATGAGTATATGGTTGTCTGAGCCAGCTGGACCTGGAACTGGAACTGTGAGTGAGCAGAGCTTTACCATTGTTTTTGAAGCAACTTCTGAGAATTTAACTATCTAATTTGATTGAAATTTCAAAATAGAATTTGCAAGGTTTTACTGATCTTTCATAGTGTTTGTTCAAAACTTTCCCTCAACTTTATCTTGATTCTGAAAAGCAGTGCCCTAATTTTTGTAAGATAAGAACACCAGACTTCTATCTTGAGCAGTTTTGATATTTAAAATACCAGTACAGTGGGATTAAAATCAGCAGCGTCACTTGTCCATGCTGCATAGCTTCCACATAATTAGCTGTGTAATTCTCTACCAAACTGCCATTTCCCCTAAATTGCAGTTTATGTCTCACTGAGCTGATGCTATCGCTCTTATTTCTATAGTAACTGTATCAGTTTCAACTGCCTTTAACTTTTCACCTGTTCTAGTAGACACTTCCTGAAAGACCCACAGGGCCACATCCTGCAGAGCTTTGCATATTTGGATTCTCTCAGAATAAAGTTCTTTAAAACACAAATAACTGGCAGGATAGGGCATGACCTTTGAGAACGTCTAGGTTCCACTGAAGTCTGTGAGATGTTCCTGATTTACTTGCAAGCTTTAGAAAACATTACTGAGAACAGTCTCACTTCCAAGCTTGTGGCAGTGTCCTGGCTGTCTACTGCTTATCCAGAGGAATTTCCTTCCTCTTCCTATGAGAGGAAGAATGGGTTACAGTTGATATGTCTAACCCATGGCCTAGTATTACTCAGCAGTTGAACACCATGCATAATCCCTATATCTCAGTAAGCGCGTGAGGCTTACAAACCTATAAAATTCTTCCACTTTTGGAAAGCACAAGTGACTATAGTCTCTATCTGCTTGTACCACATATATTCGTGAAGGTTTGCTGTCTGAAAAATGCGTTAAATTGATGCCTTTCTCTCAAAACAACAGGCAAAGTCTTGGCACTAGTTAATGTTTTTGGTGGCATATTTAGTTTCAAACAAACAGTTAAGATTGTGCAGCCAGATACAACTGTGGTGAAATTGCATTTTGGTACTGTAGAATATAATAAACAGTGTTAATACTCTAGTCACTGGAGCATAAAGTTTCTTCTTTCTTCTTGGTTTAAACTTCTACCTGTGTCTTCTGGTGAAAGCAACTTCAACTATGATGCAAAACAAATGATTTGGCTCTGTAAATGCAGTCCCTCTGTGGTTTCCACTAGGGCAGGAAAAGTGGTAATGAAATTTAAGTCAAACTGTTGATTTTCTGAACTTTTAGGAAGCTTTGGAAGGCCAGACTGGAGCCCTGAAATTCAGCCTTAACTATCAGTGTTTGTTAAAGAAAATATGTAGGTTTGAAAGGAAAAAGACCAATTACATGTTCATAAAATGAGGAAGAGATAGAGCTCCTGTTTGTGCCCAGCAAAGCGTAAAAGGAGGAAATAAAACGAGTGGCCCTTTTGCCGCTTGAGATCAGTGGATGAATTGCTGCAGGTTAAATCTAGATTTTCATAAGTTCTACAAATCAATAAGTGGAAAATTATTCAAAAGAAATTCTGAGGGTGCGTGCATGTCGCTAAGCAATTTTATGGGGCCAGAGGGCAACATACACTTAAAGAAAGGCTAAGCACTTACGGTGCCCCAGAGAAGCCCTAGATCTGCAGCCAGCTAAAGACCTGAATAGACCTATACTCTAAAACGATGACTGTATAAATTCGGTTGTGCAGTTTGAGGCGCACTCTGAATCAGCGCTTTCCCCGGGCACAGAGGCCATAGCCCCGCCAGCCTGCCAGCAGGCAGGGTCAGCGCTGGGCGCCCAGGGAGCTCCGGGAGCCGCAGCCGGGCGCACCTGCATGTGGCCGAAGTCCGTGACGCCCATGGCGGGCAGGTTGGAGCAGTTCACCTGGATGAGGCGGCGGCCGGTGATGCCGTTGGCCCTGAAGCATTCCTGGGCAGGGAAGCGGAGGGAAAGGCGGATCGCCTCTGCCACTACCGCCCCCCTGCCACTCACACACGCACACGCTCACACACACACTGAGTTCAGGGCCACTGGGCCAGGCGGCGCCGAGGGCCGGGGTTTCCCGCCCGGACCGGCAGCCTCGCACCTCGTACTGGGGGAAGCCGAGCTGCGCCACCCACGCAGCCACTTCCTCGGCGCTCCAAGTCAGGAAAGGGCAGACGGACCGCGGTCCCCCCGCGCCTTTGGGCTCAGGCTGCGGCTTTTCACCCACTCCAGGCCCCGCGGGACCCGGGCGCGGCTCCATCGGCTCCATCCCCTGGCCACCACGGCAACGCGTCTTCCCGGGACCCCGTTACCCTGGCAACCATCACTTCCTGAAGGTGCGCCCCCTTCTCCCTTCCGCCACTCCCTCCCTGCTGTCAGCTTGCAATGCCACCCGCGCCCCGCGGCTCTGCAGAACTAAATGCTGATTGGCTGCGTTGTTGAGGGGGGAGGCTGAGGCATGAGCACCGAGACGCCACCATCTCCCTGCGGCCCGGCTCACACGCACTAGCTCGGGTGTTTCCGTCCCCCCCCGCTCGGGTGTTTCCGGCCGCCTCGCTCCGGCCACGCTCGGGTGTTTCCGGCCGCCCGCCGAGCCGTGCCCATGTCGGACGCGCTCTCCGCCAGCTCCCGCTCCGAGCCCCTGGACGGCGATGCCGCGCCCCGGGGTCCCGCAGGTACGGCAGGGCAGGGGGCAGCCCGTATTTAGCATTGGCCTTCCGGGGAGAGTTTCCTTTACGTGGTGGGTTTGCTCGTTTCTGCCGGAGAAGCTGTGATTCCGGGTGGCAGCTCCCTGCGGTGGCAGCGCGGTGCCCGCTGCGGACAGCAGCGCCCCGGGTGCCGGGGCTGAGCGGAGAGGGGCGGGCTATGGTCTCTGCGCCACTCACCTGCTCACCTGTGCCTGGAGCTGCAGCGAGAGTTCCTCCCGTGCAGCGGGAAGAGCGAGCAGTGATGGAGGTTTGTGCTTTCCCCGTCTAGCCGGGAGTTGGACTGTGCCGTGGGCTCCGTGCCCCTGGGCTGGAGCTGTCCCATTCCCGCCCTGACCCTTGGGAATGGCCAGCGGCTCCGAGGGGCATCAGCAACCTGGAAAAGCTGGAACTTGTCCGTGCCCTGTTCACTGCCTTAACGGGATCGGAGAGAGGGCTGTGTACCGCAGTCGTATGGGGTCAGAGCTTTCCCTGAGTTCAGGAGCCGTCTTTATAGACCGTCCTTTTAGCACTGACCTAGGAGTTTCCATCTCGTCAGTGCCCTTTGTGAACTGCTGCATGATTGCTTTTTCCAGGGCTTTGTCAGCTCAGCTTTACATGATGAAATTTGGCCTTGTTCTGTCCTTCTAAAGCTAGAATTAGTTCCTGAATGAACCCTGCTTCTGAGCATGGCTTTACACCAAAAACGTGTAGGTTTTTGTTCTCCCTTTCGTAGGGTTGAGGCCATTAAAAATCTTTGTTCCGCAAGGTTCTAGACACAGCTTATAACACGAAAAACTGGTTGGCACAGGTCTTTGTTCCACAGCTGTGTGACCTTGTCAGTATTTGAGTGCTGGCTGCAATTCTTTTCCTGCCAGTGTATTTATTATAAACACCAGTATTTATTTCCCTTTCTCTTCCTATGTTCTGTTTGTTGTTAGAAAATGAAGACTCAGCCCAAAAGACAGAGGTTGCAGATCAGCTAGTTGATTCTTTGGAATCCAGTACTTCACAGAGCAGGTAGGAAAACCTTTTTGTGTGTTGTGGTCCACATGCATGATAGTCTGTTTCATTCCTGTGACCTCTTCCATATGGCAGTTTGGTGTGTGCAGGTAAAAAGAAGGGACTGGAGACTGAACTCTGCTTTGGGACAGTATATACCAGAATCAGTATGGGAAGACTTGTTTTTTACAGGCTTTAAAGTTGTTTTGAAGATTATGAAATGCAGTTCGTGGCTCAGCTATTCAAATCACAGTCATTCAGCTTGAAAGGAACCCTGTGTGGTTTTATAATCCATTATTAGAACTACTACATTTTCAGGAGGAAATTTTCTATATCCTATCTGAAGGATACTGCCTACTGTCTGTAAATCTGGTGGAAGCTGTACAAGAAAATACTTTTTACTATTTTCTTGACAGTGTTTTATCTTTTTTCTTTGTCTCTCCATTAATGCTGCTGATCAACCCTATTATCAGATGTTTGGCTTGTTGGTACCAGCTGGGCATGTAGTGTTTGTGGCCAAGTAATTTCATTGGTTACATGCACTAATACTGTGCAGTGCAGTTTCATTTGCCATTATACATTTGTTGCACAGGATACAATTTCAGAAATGTGTGAGTTAATTACAGTAGCTAAACGACAGCTTCATCCAAAAAAAAGCAAAAATCCAGGAAAAAAACCCCACCATCAAACTACCCTTCTTCCCAAAACAGCAGTTTGATGCCATCTTGCTTTGATGCTGCTGACCCCTCTATCAGACTTTCTGACTTTAAATGAGTTCTTCCATCTTTTTATTATAACCTCTAATTTTCTCTAAAGAGATTAATACACACTGTGAGCAAAAGAGCCAAAGTAGAAGATGGATACTTGTGGACATTACCTATTAAATTTGTCTTAATTTAGATCTTCTTTGAAAGGGATGGAGATAGTCCAAAAGGTTTGTGTGAGGAGGAATCAGCTGAACTCTCGTCAGTCTGCTTGTAAACCTTGTGTAGCTGTTCCTAATATTTCAGTGAGATTCTTAGGTGTCAGTGGTATCTAGAGGAAAAAATTTCCAAATTGTAAGCTGTTGTGTTGATGGAGAGCTTTTTGAGCAGATGTGTGCACTTATGGTAGCAAATGACCAAAGAGCCCATCTAGGTGTGTTCATTCAACTACTAAACTGAAATGCAAATAGGCTGGAAAACAATAGCATAGAAGTCCAAGAATTCTTCCTTTAAAAAATTGTTCCTACCAAGTGTCCCTTCTTATCTTGTCCATCTGCTGCCACTTTGTGAACCTGCTATTCATTTCATTAGATTTGTTCTTTAAGACCTTCTGGTCTATCGTGCCAATTCTAGGAAAGGAAATCACACTGTTGAGAGAATGTAAGTAAAAAATGGCTTTTTTTCTGGATAAATTCTGTAGTGCCATAGAAGTAACAATTTGAAAACAAAAGCTACATTTTCCCTGATCAGGTCTGCTCTGTGGAAGCAGAATATGTGTATATTTTATTTTGCTTTTAATTATTTCAAACTATACTCATAGTCTGTTTCCTTGCTAATGATAATATTTCTCATTTCTGAAAGGAGACATTTGAAGAAATACATTTTTTTTCCACTAATGCTATGTTCTCATGTTTCTGATCCTCTAAAGCAAGGCAGTTGACATTGGTTTTATAGTGCTGTGAGAAGGTTTTGATTTTCAAAAATGCAAATATTTCTATTCTTATTTAATACTAGGTTGCTTTTCATAGACATTTCACATATGTAATGAGAGCATTACAGAGGACATTCTTCTGACATCTTATAATTTGGGACTCTAAGTCTAGCTATAGACAACATGCAGCAATTTTTCTCAATATAATTTAGAAGAAAACCCTCAGCAGAGAATAAATGCCAGAGACATTTTCTTTCTTGCCCATTCTTTTCCTGGTGCATATCATTCTTATTGTTTTAGCATGTCCACTTTCTTTTGTTACAGTGCAGTACTCGGACCTCTTTGCTTAAGCTATTGTGCTGCCCATTGTATGTCTTACTGCTCACTTATCTGTGGAGTGTATTTCAATACGGCAGAGAGACAGACACTTGGGTGCTCCCTGTATCTGTTGGGATTGCTAGTAGGAAAGGCATAATGGACCACTTAAATAGATGGCATTCTCAGGATGGCTGTCAAAATTGAATTCTTTCACTGATCCAGTTGACCTCTGAGGGAGTATGCAGATGCCGTGCAGTAGCTGGCATAAAAGAAATTGTCCTTTCTTAGAAGAAAAGTTGCTACTGATGTCTGTCCTTAGTACAGTGTTGGTGAGCCAGCATGCTGTGAGGTGAGTGCAGTGAATTTCTGCCATCTAAAGGATGGTAAATACAGGGTATCCCACTGAAGCTGCTCCCCCTGGCTCACGTGTAAGGTAATCATGCCGAGATGGCAGGACTGAGGTGGGCAGGGGTTCTTTGTCCAGTTGGGAGGTGCTGACCACAGAAGCTTGTTCTTTCAGTTCATTTGAATTTGAGTTCCAGAGCAGTGATTCCTCTGCTGGCTATGCCCTGGGTGCTGAATTGTACTGCTGTCTTCCTCCAGAAGGTCACAGGCTTGGGCGCACCTGAGCACAGGCACAACAGAGCATTCGAAGGAAGAAATTGGCACTCTGGGGGACCAGAAAGTGGCTGAACTAGAAGAGAAGCTGCCTGACCAAATCCGATCTCTCAGAAAGGTAGATGGATGTTTCTTTCGTCTGAGAACAAAGACAGAAGTGCAGCAACAGTTCTCCCACCCTACTACTGTGCTTGCTGCAATGGGACTGAGGCTCTAAGGCTTGTGTTAAGATAAAAGTAGTATTAATATAGATTCAGTAACATTTTGTCCTGTACATTAGTGGGAGATAAGTGATGTCAGTCTAATTTGAAAAATCGCTCTTGTGTCTTCAGCTAGTCCTTGCTTCCTTGCTCACTGAGGCTTCAAGATAATTCTCACCTTCTGCTCTTATCTAGTGTTTCTGGAAATTCCATTCTTGCAGATTTATGGAAGAGGGAACTGAAAGTCCCTCGTTTCTTCTTGTGAGCAGCCAATTTGTTTGCCTTACAGATGGAGTCAGGAAAACCTGTGCAAGTGACACTGAGTTAAGGACCTTTGAGTTTGCATATATGAGAAGAGAGGTCCTAGTGAACCAGATGAACGTCTAACCAGGATGCAGCAGTGACAGTTTGATTGTGGCTGTAGTCTAGATGCACACAGAGCTGAAAGAGAGATTGTGTGTTGGGAATTATTTCCAAGAATAGTTAGCTAAATCTATAAGGCTGTTGCTTTCTTGAGGGGTGACAATTAACTCCGATGCAAGTGCAAAAACATGCCTGCCCAGGACTCCTGGGGAGGCCAAGGGGAGTGAAATTTGTGATACTAATGCAGCATTTGACTTCAAAGTTCATTACTTTGGTGCAGTGGGGGAAACAATGCTGAGAGTTGTCTCAGAGCTAGCCTACACTAATAATAGAAGCTTCTGCAGATCTGACTTGGTTTTATAAAGATGCCTGAGTTACTAATGAGTTGTTTCAAATCTAGGCAGAGACTTTTTATCCAGGATGGTCTTTGTGACAATGTTTCTTACGTGCTTTGTGCAGGAAGCTGTTCCATTAACCAGCTACCATGTACCTCAGGGAGTAGGGGATATAGTCATGATTCAGTCAGATCACACTGGTGCTGTGGATATCCTTTCAGCTGAGCTGGAGACTGCAGACCTTCTTGGGGAGCAGAGAAAAGGTGAGTCCTGAAGGCAGAACTCTTGTTGGGGTAATTTTCTAAGTGCCTGACCTGGCTAGAAGAGCAGAGACTGTTCTGGGGATACTTCTAATTCCAGCTGGAAATTTGGGCTCCTGGCTAGTGAGAGGAAAAATTTCACATCTGAGGCTTTTGGGAGCAGGCCCCAGAATGCAGACCCCTTACCAGAAATAGCTTCACCATTTTCAAGTAACAGTTTGTCAGTAGTGAAAAGTCATGCAAGCCTGTGAAATTTTCCCTTGTCTCAGCTCAGCCTCCCCCTCTGGCTGCACCCACCATGTGGACCACTGAGAAGATGAAGGAATTCAAAGCTAAGATGGGAAAGGAGAAGAATGGCCGGATGGTGGTGAAGCGAGGCGAGGTGGTGACAGTTCGTGTGCCAACCCATCCTGAGGGGAAATGCATTTGCTGGGAGTTTGCTACAGATGACTATGACATTGGGTTTGGAGTCTATTTTGACTGGACCACAGTTACTAGCACTGCCATTACTGTTCAGGTCAGTGACTCCAGTGATGAGGAGGATGAAGAGGAGGATGAGGAAATTGAAGGTTAGTGCAGATCTTATAAGGGTTAATTTGTGTTGCTTGTTGCCATGTTGCTTAGAGTATCTGTCAGATGCTGTAATTTTCATCTACTTTGTTTAGTCAGCCCGTTTGCTATCTCTGCAGCCTTTTGGGTTCTTGGTTAGAGTGATAAGAAAGCATTTGGCCCTTTCTGCTTCAGCATATGTCAGTGGCTGTCCTCTCCAAGAGCATTCTTAAAATTGAACACATGGAAAAATAAAATCAGAATTCACTCATTCAACTTCTAGCTGATAAAAAGGTTAAAGTCTGAAATTTTAACCCAACTGTTTTTGATAGACACTCAGACTGAGAAATTTCTGGTGGTGAGTGGAGCAAGATTTTGTTTTGAGGTGTTGGGGTTTTTTGTTTCTTTTTTTGTTGTTGGGGTGGTTTTTTGGTTGTTTTTTTTTCTTTTTGGTGAGGTTTTTTTGTTGTTCGTTGGGGTGGGTATTTTTTCTTTTTGTTGTTTTGCTGTTATTCGGGGGGATTAGTGGTTTTTGTTGGTTTTTTTGGTTTTTTTCTACCATGTTTGCTGTCTTTGTCTACAATATTTGCTACCTGTGTCACTGTATTTGGGAAACACACAGTAATGTTGCCTGTTCTGTGGCTTCAGTATGTGTGACCAGTGTATCTGGGAGGTTCATGTCTGAATTTTGCAGGCCCTGTAAATAGAGGTAGGTTCCTTTACAAGGAATCTTTTTGGAGAAGTGAATTGAGGACATAGACACTATGAGGTAACAGCTAAGAGCTTTCCTGCCTCTCTTTGCTTCAAGTCTATATCACATGACTGCTGTTGTGTGTGTAAAAGCAGTGAGGTGTCTAAAAGGTAAGCTAAAAAGAGAGAGGAGATTGGGCTGGCATGATAGTAAATACAGTCCCATCAGTATTCCCAAGAGAACTGGTACTTGGTATGACCTTTGTTATGATAAGGAAGACTGGACTTTGTGGGAATTATTTGCAGAAAGGTCAGAGGAGATGCTGTGGGTGATGCTACCACAGTTAGTTTTCCATATAGCTGCATGTCAGTGTTGCATTCTGCTCTTGTTGGTCTTTTTCTGGATTATGTAGTGGTTCTGACCTACTTCCTTGTCTCTTCTCTCCCATTCAGGACTGTCCCCTGTAGGTGATGTGGAACGGGGTTCCAAAAGCTACCTGCGGAACCGCTATGGAGAGATCACGCCTGTGTACCGGAGGAACAGCCATCGGGAGGTACAGGCAGGCAGCCACCAGTACCCGGGCGAGGGCATCTACCTGCTGAAATTTGATAACTCCTACTCTCTGCTCCGCAATAAGACTCTGTTCTTTCATGTCTACTACACTAGCTGAAGAAGAGGGAAGGGGCAAGGATGGCAGGCAGGTGATGGTGAGTGTAGCAGGCTGCCACCCAGCCCTGGTACTGCCTGACGGGCACTACTGTGTGACAGAACCACGGCACAATTCTGCCAGCTCTTCTTTGGACAGTAACTGGTTTCTCTGCACACCCTTCTTCCCCGCTGTCCCAGGGAAGAAAGGTAGTTGTGGCTGCCTGGTTGTTCCCAGGCAGCTACTTTCTCTAAAACTCTGCTCCATACAGGCGTTGGGCTGGTCCTTCACATCACAGCTGGCAATTGCCCAGAAGCCACGTTCAGGTGGTTGTGATTCTGATCTGTTGTGCTGGTACAAAATGAAGTGAAAATAATCTGTTACTATTTTGTGAATATTTTTTCTAACTCTCCTGCTGCGCCTGCATCACTAGAGGGCAGCTGTTAGCTTCAGTGAGCCAGAAGCACAGCTGGCTTATCACCTAGCCAGGGTAACCCCATCACCTACCATCGCTACAGTCACCAGCAGTCAGTGCTTCCTTCACTCACATGAGTGGGTGGGAGTGCAGCTGGCCAGCAGCAGCCCATGCTGCAGTGGCTTGGCAGTGCTACAACAGGTGGACCCCAAATAGCAGTCACAGCTCATGTTTGAACATGGGGTGGGAGCAAGGTGCACACCTCATAGTCCATAGGAAGGCTTTTCTATAGATTAAGAATTGGATGTTGTATCTGTTGACTGTAGGCATATGTAGATGATTAAAACCTCAGTGATTACCAGAAGTTTTTTCTGTAATCCAGATGTGAAGCAGAAGACATTACTTACTGTCATGCTGAATGAATACAAAATGGTTGGAATACAACCAATAAATAGAGAGGAAATTTTTCTTTGTAGCAGGATGTTGGTTCACTGGTATTGCAACCATATGTAGCAAGGAAAAGGCTCCCAGAGAAATGCAGTTTGTCAGCTGCTACTGCTGTTGCAAAGATATCATTAGAAAGTTCCTTGGCATGTTTCGGTGACCAGTGATGGTATTAGTTATCACCTTCTGCTTACGTAGTGGCTGAGTTGAACAAGGAGAAGTTAATCCATCAGAGGAATTTTAAAACGTATTTATTTGTAACTGTTGTTTATTTTAACACTTTTAACTTGAAATTGTTCTCTTTTCTAAGAATACTGCTGTATTTACATTTTGATACCTCTTTGCAGAGACACAAGATGACTTTCCATGGTGATACTAGAAAAGTTCTGAGTTTTATTTTTAAATCATCCAGGTAAAGCACCTCTATTTGGTCCATTCCTTCTATGGAGAGGAAATGATGGACAGAATTATTTGGGGTAATTAAAGCCAAAGATTTTGCTCTCATAGGAGGGCTGCATATTTCCTATTAAGAGTATATTGTAATGCTGTAAAATTTGCTCTATATTCAAGCTTACTTTTAATTATCTCTGCTTACTGATTCACTGCTCCGGAGCACTTAGTAGGTCAAAGTAGTAAGAAAGGAAGCAGTCAGTCTACAGTAGAGCAGCTCAAGGTGGGAGCAGGAGGAGTGGAAATTGGAAGAGCACTGCTTGGAGCACAGTGGCTTTCTGGGGAAGTGGACAAGGAGCAGCATTGTTGCTGCTTTGGGCCCTGAGATAGGGAGAAACCAGTCACCTTCCTCAAAAGAGAGTGTGTTCACCAAGGTGGGGGGGAACTGCAAAGCTGCCTTATTCAAGCACAGGGAGACAGAACAGTACGACAGAACTGAAAGAGCAAGATGCTCTTTCACTTAGCAGCTTGGAGAGGGCTATTCCTTCCTTTAACCTCTCATGGATGAAATTAAGAATCACCCTGTGGCCTTTCTACAGCACTTGAATTAGGCCTGAGCAATTTAGGTAAGGTGTTTGGATATTTTTTTCATCCTTTGTCTATCAAGTTCTTAGATATTGTTCATGGAGTGACACATTTCACTTCTAACAGAGAAGTAGTAGTATGTTTGCTGATATAAAACATCAGTTTAACAACATTTCATAGTTGATGTGTCATGTGTAGACTAGGGAATGAGAGGCTGGAGAGCAGCACTGCAGAAAGGCATCTGGGCATCCTGGTTGATGGAAAATGGAACATGAACCAGCAGTGCCCTGGCAGCCAGGAGGGCCAACCCTGTCCTGGGGTGCATCAGGCACAGCATGGCCAGCTGGGCAAGGGAGGGGGTTGTCCTGCTCTGCTCTGCACTGGGGCAGCCTCACCTCGAGTCCTGTGTGCAACTTTGGGACCCACAAGAGAAAAAAGATATTAAGCCATTAAAGACCATCCATAGGAGGGCCACAAGGATGTTGAAGGGTCTGGAGGGGAAGGATGTGAGAAGTAGTTGAGGTAACTTGGTCTGTTCAGGCTGGGGAAGAGGAGACTGAGGGGAGACCTCATTGCAGTTTACAACTTCCTCACAAAGGGCAGGCAGTGACCAGTGACAGGACTCAAGGAAAGGGCATGAAGCTGAGTCAGGGGAGGTTTAGGTTGGGTATAAAGAAAAAGTTTTTCACCCAGATGGTGGTTGAGCACTAGAACAGGCTCCCCAGGGAAGTGATCACAGCATCAAGCCGGACAGAGTTCAAGGAGTGTTTGGACAACACTCTCAGGCACATGGTCTGATTGTTGGGATGTTCTGAGAGAGGAGCTGGACTCAATGATCGTGATGGGTTTCTTCCAACTCATCATACTCTATGATTCTATGAACCTTTTGTTCTGAGTCACTGGAAAACACCTTAAAACTATCTATGATCACACAGGAAATACTATGGACCAATGCCAGAAGAAAAGTTGCACATAAAATACAGAAGTTGGTCATGTCCTAGAACACTAAGATCAGCCACATACATGTGTGGTCAATGCCAGGGTTCTTCAGTCTGTTCTGCAGCCTCTGGGAAAACTTGGTGGTGTTGTAACTCAGAGGTGAAGTTCTGCAGGACTGTTGAAGGAAATAAAAAATAGGAATTACATTTTTTTAGAGGTTTCACTAGGTTGTTCCTTACATTATTTTTGATGTTGTTAATTTGGAAAAAATACTTTTGTTCATCTCTCAATGCGTGTCAGGCAAATGTTTTTGTAAAAGTGGGTACAAGCTTAAATCAATCTGTGAACTCCAAATTGTCACAAGTTTATGGGATTTCACTTAGTTCCATTACCTAAAAGACTGCATCAGGTGGAACTTTACAGTAGAGGATTAGATTAATAATTTTCTTCAAACAGATGATGTAGGTAGTAAAAGGTATCAACAACAGGGAAATGGCAGATTTATTTAGTAAATGCTTTAACAACACAAGACAGTCTCTGAAAATAAGGTCAGTGCTGGAATTAAGGTCAGTGCCAAATTGTCAGGAGATGGGACTATACTTCTTTTCCAGCTTCAGTGGGTCTTATGAGAAAGAGGGAAAAGGGTCTGTATCCTTACAAATTATGGTCTTTATCTATCCATCTGATATGCACTGTAGCAGCTGATGTGAAGCAGGAAAATCTGAGGAAGTGCAATAATTCACATTCAGATAGAAATTGCAGAAATTCTTAAAAATTTCCGAGCTCTTCGGGCCTTTAGACTCAGAAAAGTGTTTAAATAACTGGTTTTAAGAAATGAGATTTTTTATGGGCTGTTTTGTAAAAGAAATAAAAAAAATTAATTAAAAGTTTATTTACACTGTCATTGCTAATAACATCTGAATTATTGAAACCTCTAGAAACACTCCAAACACAGTAACAGTTTCATTATGTTTTGCACTATTCATACCCATATAGTAAAATAATTCCTTAAAAAGCTGATAACCAAATCTAGCAGTAGCAGTTGAGTATTGTGAAGATACTTCTGTAGCTCAGGCCACCTGATTTATTCATCCCATTCTACAACTGACATCATCCTTTCATAACAGATTCTGGTTTAAAGAAGAGTTGAGTTAGAAAAGCAAATCACAAGCAAATCTGTTTGGAGATTTTACTTCCCCACCCTTTTTAAAGTAACCCATGCACACACAGCCCCACAGGTACAGCACCCCAGCATGTGTAACCTCTCTCACACAGCCCTGCAGGTACAGCAGCCTGGTCTAGTTGAAGGTGTCCCTGTCCATGGGAAAACAGTTGGAACTAGATGATATTCAAGGTCCTCTTCCAATCCAAACCATTCTATGATTTTATGAGTAAATGTGACAATAGTTTAAGAAGATATGATGGCAAGTGTACTTGTTTGCTGCATAGAGGGCAGGGTCAGACAAAACTGTCAGGGAGACCCTCTGCTGAGTCATGACATTCAGAAAGGACCCCCCTATTTTTTAAACTCCCTTCTTCAGGGGAATTTAGGTGTGTGTCTGGATCTAGACTTAGTGCCAGGCTTGGCCAGCAGTTTACATCTAAAGGATTATGTGCATAGTCAATCCTGTATCTCAGCTAAGATTTCAAAGTTTTGTATGCTATTAAGCACTTAATGAGAATTCCTTAGCAAAGAATCTCTCAGTCTCAAGAAGTGAACCCTAAGAGGCATCCCTAGTCAAGTGGAGATCCTGGAGTGCAGCATACTGCCATGCAGGAGAGGGTAACAGGCCTTGGGCTGTCCACTGTCTAGAGTAAGATGATTGAGTTTATTTATGAAATAAAAAGTCATATTTCTATACAGGCTGTATTTTGGGTTTCCTTGTGCCCAACTGGCCGTAAGCTGTTGAGCAAGACTTATGGCCCTTAACTATTGTGTTCTTATCTGTCTTCTCAGAGTCCAGCTTAAGCCAGATACAGGTCCTCCCAACCACCACTGGTGGCTGGCTATTGCTCAAGCAGAAGTGGGAGGGGAGAGCACACTAGTACCCAAGGCACCAAACAGAAGAAGATGGAATAGACCCTTCAGTCTGACCACATTGCCCCACTCAATGATTGCTGTTGGTCCTTGGCTGTGAGATCTACAGAACCCTGTGTGTGTGTGCTGGTTAACATATTATGCCCTATTTGGTACCTACTCCACTTTCTAATTAGGACTTGTTTATGTTGAAGGGAACTCTGACTTGTATGTACATGAGATATTATGTACATGAGATATTCCAGAATTATTGATCCTTATCTGCATAGCTTGTTGCAGGCTAATGGGTTATCTCCATTTAAAACTATACTGTGGCCTCCCTGTTGCTAGCTTGCAGCTACTTCCCTCTTCTGTCTGTTGCTCATAATAAGGTTTGAAATACATTTTGTCATGTTTTAAAAAATTAGCAAGGCCTGCCTTATAACCAGTTTGATCCCTTGCTGACATAGAGATAGTATGTGCCAGTTTTCAGGCCATTAGTTAATGGCTTTTGTTAAGATAAATTGCACTGTAGATGGCAAACCTATTGTTCAGTTCTTGCTTTCTGAAGCGTGGACCAATTTTTAATAAGG